TTCTCCCTGCGACATTAGAACAACGAAGTGATGGCGTAATTCCACTTGGTGAATGGTAAGTTGTTGTTTTCTCCTGTTTGTAATATACATAAAGTTACTTTATAAACCAGAATGCTCCCACGTTTCAGGTGTAATTGTCAATGCTGTCATACCGATTTGTTAGAAGGCGCATTAGAGTACAGATGCTGTAAGGAAATTGGACCAGCTTTGCAGAAAATGACATTCGATGGCAGCATTGAGAAAATATCATGCATAACACAGCATGCCAAATTTGGGCCTTTAGTTCATGAGGCTGTCCTTGAAAACGTCGGGCCACTATTGAGAGATAGGAATGGACGTGCTTATCGCCGCCAAGCATCACAATCATTAAATATGTAAGATTGTAAATTGTATGAGAAACAATGTTATAATCAACATTGTTTCATCAACAATAATTAGTCCAACCTTTTTATTTACTTCAGGTACTTGAGAGCTGAGGCATACAGATGGTTGATGCGATGGTTTTGTGGGTCTATGGGATGGGAGAATACTCGGCCTTTACCTGCTTGTGTTTACCACTTTATTCGGAAAGCATATCCAAGTGGTAGCACAACAGGTTACATACCATCAGAGGGGCGATGATGAAATAGTCTTCTAACTTGTGCACTGTAGAAACTGTTGACCTTCTTTGCTGAGTTTGGAATGGTCAGGAAATATGCCTAGATGAAAACCAAATAGGAGATACATGGATGCACTACATAAGTTGACATGCTGTTTAGAGGTTTGAAACAAGAGTAAACAATAAAAACAAATTGGTGCAACTACTGAGAGGTTAAGCTGAAAGAATTAAATGAAAGAATATCTTTTCTTCAATGGCAGTCTGGGAAAAAAGACAAAAGAAAAAATATATGGAATTGAATCATAGCATAAATGTAAAAATGGAAAATAGCAAGCCGTTCAAATGGTGAATCGTTTGCTTCCCCAGTGCAGACTTAAACATGCTCAGCTTCATCACTAGTAGATGGTACTTCCTCATTGAGAGAACATGTTTCCTTCAGCGATGGCTTATGGAGAGTATGTCGAATAATCTACAAAACGTATATCGAATTTACATATGACAAAAGAAAAATTAACATAAACAAGCGTAAACTTACTTGTCTTCGCTTTCGATCGATTATTTCGTCCTGTAATGGTTCAGGAATCCCAGCCACGTCAATGGTTGGGATAGCATCTTTCTTCATCCTTCTTTTGAGCTTGACTTACACGCTCAAATTAAGGTCAAAACAAGAATCTTCAAAATGCGCAGAACACAGACACGAGGTAGAGGAAGCCTCAAAACCCGGTCTATGTTTACGCACAAAATTTACCCATTTTCTATGTCTTTGCGGCTCTGTTTCTTTTTTAGGAAACAGATACATCGACATTACTTCGGTTTTTGAATCATTGGCGCAACTAATTTGATTAGGTCCGCCAGCAACACAGCGTTTTCCTCCGCGTTTCTTATTAAGATTACTATTAGAATACGCCATGTTGATATATGTGTTCAACTTTCTACGTCACAAGTCGTTAGCATACCGATCAAAAAGTTCGCAAAAAAAAATGCTGAAAATCGTGACTTTGAACGTCCGTAAAATCACTTTCACCAACCCAATTTCAATTATAATTGCAGATTTAAAATCACTGAAACAAGGTCTTTCAATTTAGCTAATAAAAAGGGGGGCTAAAATTCGTGATATAACCACTTTAAAGGGGTGATTCTCCCGTCACGTCTGTGACATTTACCCTGTAATTCTATTGTTCATCCTGGTTTCAATCGTCTACAATAGTTACGATATTACAAACTATTTGATGCAGCTATTTTGTTTGTAGAGACGTAGAGTAATGCTGAAAACATATGATGGTATAGTTCTTGTTGTTTTTGGCTTGTTTGTTTTTATTGGGAATTTGAAAAATACAAGATATTACAATAAATAACAACAAAACAATGACTATAGTTAACCAAAATAGTAGAGATACGAACGCCATTTTAAAGCTACATATTATTGACAGAAGTTTGACAGACAACTACAAAAATACATCATAACATTTCTTGAGAAAAAAGGCACGTTGCTGTCAATTTCGATTACAAGAACATTCAGTTTACGCAGATCAGGTACAGGACAAATTGACATTAAAAACAGAGCGTAATAAGTTAGAGTAGTATTCACCAACATATACAGCATTTAAATTGGCGTAAAGAAGAAAATGAATTGGCGTGAAACAATCAGCTACAAAAGCAATTGTGCTGCGTCATGTGTGGGAATTAGCTGCAAAACTGGCGTTTTCTTTTCTATGAGTACCACATAGTTAAAAGTTTTTCATTGTATAATGGAAACGGAAATACTATTTTTTGAAACCATCAAAGAGTGTAGACGTGGAGACATGCTATGCTTTTATAGACTCTAAATACTGCGTGTTTTGTCATAATCAGTTGCATAAAAGCATGCAAGACCTTTAAGTTATTATTACAGTTGACTGACAAATTTATGATTTTTTCGGAACGCCCTGTTAGTTTACTTCCAACTTCACACATGCTTCAATTCTGTTCAAACCACATTTGTCGTAATTTGTGGTAACTATAGCGCTGTAGTTCTTTCTACGAAGATAAATTTCACAATTCCTGGTCACAAATTTTCAAATGACAATATGCATATAACTTTCGTAAAAAATATAGTTGAATTATGTTGGACAGTGATGATGTCGGAATATGTTGCAAAAGATGAATAAAATATGATTCTTTTTCATTCCTCTGATACAATAAGTTAACCAATGATAAAACGCTCTCAAGAAGATTCGGATTGCGGTTTGTGACAAATTCACACAGACCAAGAAAATTGTATTGCATGCAAATTTGCAACTAATTGCAAACTTAGGAATTTGCTGTTCCTCTGATAAAGAATGGTAAAACATCGTCTTCGATATCTTTACTGACCTGCCGTTTTTATCAAAAAACCGTCTGAAAAGTGGCTAAAAAAGATTAGGTTACATTCTTTTAATTGTAATACTTTGTTTTGCTGAGACGGTGAACGATGATCGCCTGGCTGAAACTGTTTTCATTTTCAAAGAACAAAATAAATGTCTGTTGAGGTAAATATGAGAACTTCATAGAGAAACGAACTCTTTCTTTGTTTCTGCATTGTCATATTTTATTCATAGCATATCTCAACCCGCTTTTGCGGTTTACGAGTTGGTGGGAATCGAAATGACGTACATTATAGCATTCATTGCATTCCACCATGGCATATTATTGATTAACAATGTTGAATGAATCATAATAAAATATATTGCTAACTCTAATCATCACCAAATGATATAATTCTGAATGATTGTTAACTTCACAAAATCATAATTCTCGTGGAAACGTTATGCGAAAACAACATGTAATTGTAGGTGTATGTCAACGTGTTTATAACTATCTTTAATAAACCTTGCTAACTTCCAGTGCATGCCCTCGTGTATGCCAACATGACGTGACGTTAATCTATTTCCTGGACTCAGTGGGCGTGTGTGAGAACACATGCATAAATCAACATTCAACAGATTACTTTAATAAATCACACAAATTGATGTGAAATTCAGAATTTTTTTATGTTTGAGTACAAACTATAGAATCTCTACGATGATTACTGGTAGAAATATAAAAGAAACTGGAATAACATTGTGTATACTAATCTGTGGTTTTAATGAGTGGTATCATTAATGGTGCGCTCTCTATTTAAGATTTGGTGTATGTTAAATGTCATTTACGAGGGATCTTGTTATCATAGATACAATCTACAGTCAATCCTTGTCTCTGCGTAAACTTCATGTTAGCATAATTTATTTGTTTATTCTGTTTTTCGTGAAACTAAATGACATTACCTTATTTATACCTTTTTGAGGATTTAGGTAACGAATTTTTCATACACCATATATCTGTATAGATTGTTAGTAATTCTGAATAGCGTATTACATTAAAAACGAGCTATCCACATCGTTAACATCAACTCACATCCATAGGTAATCATATGTCTGATCCAAGCTCTCTCAGCCTGCACTATTAAAGGTGGAATTAACAGACTTGTACCCTATTTGGTAGAACCTTCATATCATAATAGAATCAAATAATGCCGATGGAATTTGTAAACAAGATCGTTAGCAATTCATATATAATCGGTGCTTGGAAATGACCGGACATGTGAACGTGTGACGGAATGCAAAATGCAAGAAGAATTAAATTCCTGCATTACTCTTTGAATTCAATATTCTTTACATTATAGATTGCGTAGAACTACAGCAATAAATCTATGTTGTATACTTCAACGCATTAAATATCTAGCAGTGTGAAAAAGTGCAGCAGTGGGAAAATCAAAATGTTCTGTATGCTTGTGTAGAATAATTTGCACCCAAACTGGAACTCATCATTGTTCATCATTATTATCAGTATTCCAGAAATTTTACGGAGGATTTATATAAAAAAATATATCACACTACAGTCTGCTGTCAGTCTGAGTCCTGTTTCTTTATCGTCAAAGATCAATGTGTTTTGTTCCAGTTCTATGTGGAGCTGCAGCAAAAGTATTGCAGCAGACTATAGATATTAAACTGTCGTCTCTAAACCATTCTTCAATAGCACCTTCAAATAGTGCTGCTAAATAGGAAAGCTCTTAGATTTATATAGGCTGTAGAATATATAAACAAAAGTTACGAAACATTGTTGTTCATTTTCTTCTGCAGTGCACGGAACAAATAAATCAGATTATGCTTTTTACGTTTCAACGGGTACAAAAAAGGTAAGAACGCGAGGGTTAAGGACAAGCAGATCGTTGGAATTTTTGTTGCCTGACTGACATGATATGCTTGTATAAGTGACAGACTTGGCAAATGTTATCGCTTTCATTTATATTTGTTTTAAACAATGTGAGCAACTGAAGAATTAGCATACCAAAGTTGCCTCTTGTTATCAGAAAAACATTCATCATGCCGTATATTAGCGTTTAAAGCTTGTTCTTTCTTTCGCTAAATTGCTACGTACATGATCGCGATGATCTAGCTGTTAAACTTATTCTCACATTTCTTTGTTTGCATTTCACAGTTGCAAAGACTTTTTTCCAATCCATATGTTATTTCTGGCATGAGAAGCTGAACAGGAATCTGAAATATAGGATTTCAATCAAGCGCAAATTGATAACATATCTTCCCACTAATCTAATTACGTCTGCGAGGAGTGCACTGTAAACAAGTCGAAGTGCATTGTATTGACGAAGGCGTACTCTGAGGATATTTCATCAAAATGGCGTCAAGGAGTCATGTCATTCTCTTCGTGTTCCAGTGGTCGTTAGCATTTTTTGGCATTGTTGGCAATCTGTGGGTAATTTTAGCAATATCACGATACAACGCAATAAAGAAAACGTCAAATAAAATACTTTTCATTAATTTAGCAATTGCGGACTTGGGAGTGCTTGTAATCCGCAACGCATTTTATTTTCTATCCATATCTACTCACGATGAATGGCATCCTAGCGAAATTGCATGCAAACTATTTCTACCACTTTCGTACATGTTCATGCCAGCCTCCGCTCTTACTTTGGCAGTAATCTGGTACTCCCGATGTAAAGCTATTGCCAACATCCGTCAACTGAATGAAATATGTATCAGGAGTGCCTGGCTCAGCGTCACTGCCATTTGGTTGTTCGTTATTTTATTCTATCCTGCTATTGAAGTGCCCATGCGCCGTGTGTCGCCTACATCTCATAAATGCGAGTTGAATGTCTCTGAATCCGTGTCTAACATACTTTATGCTCTAGAGGATTCTTATTTCCTTATTGCATTTATTGCAATCATTGTTTGGTTTGTACGGATGAGGCACGTACTCATTGGCTTCTCCAAGGTGCTTAATAATGATATAGTTGTCAAAAGGTGAGAAATTTAGCAGATTAGTAGAATATTTATTAGGTGCGCTCTATGGAAGATATTAATTCACTGCTTATAACTTGTGAACAATACTGATTTGTCAACTAATATTGCATCACATTTTTTTAATTTCTCAAGTCTGCGTCATTCAAGGTTTATTTTCAAATTGTGAACAATACAATTAGCAAGTGACCATTAAGCGTTGTGTATGACCTTTGATACCTTTGTAAGTTTAAAAAATGTTTTCCTAAATAGACAACACCGTACAAGATATGCTGAAAGGTGATGCATTCATGGAAGTGCTTAGCAATAATAGACATCTCTAGGCAATTTTGATATTGTTTGTTGCACAAAATATAGCATGTATTTCAAAAAAGTTTAAATTATCTAAAGTATCTTGTCAATAAGACATGCATGATGATAAAAACCCGAAGATTTGGAAACTAAGATTTTGATACTGCAATCTTCCCTTCATCATCATTTGTTACTCTTTAAAGATGAAGAAGATAATAGTTGATGAAAACAATGTTATAGCTATAGACACTGCAGTTTATTGTCTACAGAATTATAAATATGCTACGTCTTTTTTAAAAACTCCTTTGATTGTAACAACTGAATACTGTTTCTTTAATTACTTTGTTATGCGCAGTAACCTTTAACCTTTGCGCATTTAAGTAAGCTTTAGTCGAGACGATTACGTTTTCCGGACTTCGTTTTTAGCAACATTTGTACGTGTTGACTTTATGTTTTGCTCGGTAGCTTTGGCTGTCAAAATATTAAGTCGCCGCTCGCAAACAACTTCTAAAAAAATAGTCACAGAAATTGAAACTTTGCACCATTTGAGATTGCTTGGTGTTATATGTTTTAGATTGCTGAAAAACAAGAAAGCTTTGAAAATGCTATGGCCAGTTGTAATTGTGTTATTTGTGTCTATGCTTCCCCTTGCTGTTTGCCGTACTTGGATATGGATCAAAGGGTACGAAAGTGTACCTTATCTTTTTAAACACATCGTCGATATACTTTTGGTTGGGAACAGCGCGTGTAATCCATACATATACATCATTGTGTCAACTGAGTTTCGAGAGAAATTTTTGCGAATGCCGTGCATAAAACTGATTCGCAAGCGATACTTTCAGGAAAAATCTTCTCGCTCAGATTGCCAACAGCGGAAATGGTGGTACAAGAATCTTCATCCAACCAATGTTCAAGACAACAACTGGATGTAAATTGTCTTGAAATATGTATAAGCATTAGCAAAAATAATCCTTTATATATTATAAAACTGAACAGATTCGAAATCACTCTCAACTTCGCAAAGGCAACTCCAGTTGCAAAGTTTTTGATTGATAAACATTTGTTTATACTTAAAATAGAAAATCAATTAGAAACAATTGAACTTTAAGTTTTTATTATAAAGTGGAAAAAGGGAGGGAGGTGATATTTTTTCCAACAAATGAGAAATGGCTTCAACAAAAATACTTTGTTAAAATACTATAAGTTCGTTCATATATAAAGCGTTAAATAGGTAATTTACTCAAACTTATGTCCAAAATTTCGGAAAATTTCATCATGTGAAATGCTTTCAAAGTACAATCTTGCATTTCTTCAATAAGTCGCTGCTTACATCAGATACATGCTTAGTTTAGCTATATCAGTTTACCTTATCTTGCATGCGGGCTGCTCGAATTTGCAGCTAAGAGACAATTAATGAGACTTAAATAGACTTTCATTTGGAATTTTTTATTTTTTAATCATAACTAAACCAATCATTAGAAATGACTTTGCAATTTAGCAAAATAAATTTTTCGAGTTACATCAACATTGGAAAGGAGATAAAATCATGGCGTCACCAGGCCACTGGTTTTGGTCATCTCATGTAAATCTTACAACATATTAGTATTTTTCATTTCTTTAGAAATCACTTGCTTATTTTCACCTTTTCACATTTAACAATTTGTAAAGAATGTTTTAAAGCCAAAATTTTATAAAATTGATTGTTGAGAAAATATTTTGAATTTTAAATGTATTTTTTAATGTATTCTGATTTTCCCTAGATCTTCCATTGGAAAACGAATTCTTCGCATTGGTCAAATTTCTTGATTGAATAATTTAGTTGATATGTTGAACAGAATGTGCCATAATTTGACCTATTATTTCAAATTGCATTTTATATATGCTTTTTTGTACACACTTTAACTTTTATAATACGTGTGTATTTCAGATACTTTTCATTTCACCCTAATCAACACAACGTTTTTACATTGCGTGTACTTACTTAATTGCTTCAGTCCTTTTCTGTGCATTAGAAAGAAATTTATCAGAAAGAATTATCTGATAAACAATGCTTAAGGTTTTTTCTTACATTTATAAACCAAAGGAACTTAGTTTTGTAAATTGTAATAATCATACTAACTTCATCGTTTTTACAGCCTTTACAAATATAACTATTTACTTTAATATTGTATTATGCGTATACTAGACTAAAAACATATAATTTAAGATATTTCTCCATTGTGATTGGTTGATTTGAAATACAGTTCATCTGTAACTGTACTGTAGAAAAGTGTAATTTTAGTGTTAACAATAAACATGAAAAACGAAACTTCTCAATTCTGATTTTTAGAGCAGTGCAATTTCATCGTAAATACCAGTGGCGAAAATAGAAAACACAGTGCAAGAAAGGAAATAGCTACAGTGCAATTTATTTTTAAAAAAATTACCCCTAAGTAGTTAGTCAAACGAAAAAGTAATCTAGGAGCCAATAAAAACATTTCAAAGGTTTCCACAATTGCAAACGCTTGAAATTCAAGAATTTAAAATGCAAAAAAATGAAAACAAAACAGCAAGTACTGTTTTTTGGTAAATGTTTTTAACAGTTAGGCTGCAAAACGAGGCCTGAAGCGATAGAGAGTAACAAAGCAAGACAGAGTTAGATGGCACAATCAAGAAATATCTCAAAGTTTATTATTACTAGTAATAGTATATACTTCCGTGTGCAATTACGGCTAAAGATGCACTTGCAAGTCGTGAGTTTTTTAAAGACATTAAAGAGTGCTCATCCTTCGGCAGAGTCGTCACTATTGCCTTGATATTGGGGGAGGGGTGTCGCAAATATTTACCCAAAGTTTTCTTTGAATTTACCTGTAACTTTGCAGTTTTCAGGTATGCATTTGGCCGAACTCGGTAAGCATTGACTTCAAAATTTTCAGTTTAAAAAAAGTGAATAAACAGTTTCAAAATATTTTATTCAGTGAGAGTTTTCAATTTTCAGTTAAAATACACAACATTCATAATTGATACATTCATCAAAGTATAACATATTAACTATCAGGTTTAAGAAGAGGTGTTGCAACAGTTGTAATTTACATCAAACAACAAGTTGAAATTTTAACTAGCAACGAAAAAAGTTTTGTCTTACTAATTACATCCCCGTAATTTAAAACTGGCAACCATTAACGCAGCACTTTATGTTACGTATAATAGTATTACTTTCTGACTATGTGATTACTGATCACTCTGTAAATTTACCTTGTAAATAAACTGACTTGGAGGAAACGACTTGTAGCTCAGTTGGTTAGAGCACTGCACCGGCACCGCAGAGGTCATGGGTTCGAATACCGTTGAGTCACCTGAATTTTTCAGGTTCATGAGACAATTGCTTAAATTGTCTAGCAAAGTGCGAAGATCATATCTTCATTTAATTTCAAACACCGCACTGCATATAACATTCTTTCATAAGCAATATTATTTACAATTTTCTCGAGGAAAGTTTATCGATCGCTTGTACGATAGTGTTGTGGGAAGCTAATCATCATTACCCAAACAGACGGCAGGCACAAAATATTTCTGTGATTCTTGTGTTACCTTGTGTTCAAGACTAGGCGATTCCGAACTGCTAACTCATCTTAGCTCAAATTAATAAATCAAGAATTTCACAACTTTCATTGAAAAATTAATTAAGACTGTCTAACAAAGAGCTTGATGAAAAATCGTCAACAAAGTTGTAAATACTATATTGCTCCTGATTCGTTGTAACGTACACGCAAATTGAAATTGACGCGTGGATAAATACAGTTTAACTATGCGGTATTAATTAGGGAACGCACACAACACACTGTGATTATCAATACACAACAGTAATTATAAGACTAGCTTTTGGGTATTGAGTCATGATTTTTTTTGTTGACTTGCAAGAACACATTCTTAAAAAAACATTTAATGTGCATTAATGTCAAATCATTTCAAGCACATGACTGACACAAGATGACAGTCAACATTATTAATTTCTCAAAGCAAATTGAAAATCTTTATCATATTTTTTTAGAACATTTGATGGTATAACATTTCAACGTTCAAAAATACTGTTTTCATCCTTTATTTCTCTTCCGTTTCTTCCTTGCATCGACGCAATGCGTAGAAGAGTTTTAGCCAAGAAATTTGAAAAGCATACAAACAAAGGAATAGGCAGTAAATATTGGCAGGGGAGTGCGCTCTGTATGCAAAGATGGGTAAATGTAAGAGCAATTAATTGACTGACCACATTTTATTGATTATCAGAACGTAACATTTACATTTGCAACAATCATGATTTAAAATCCCTTGATTGAAATTCCATACGCATAAATACTAATAATAAATACTAATCACATTAATGATATCATGTAACATTTAAATATTACTCTACTAATAATTAAAGAGTTAATGAATCTGCTAAAGTTAATTTCGGACATTTACTGAATCGTCTTTTTTTGGAAGTGCACGTGTAAACATTAGACTTGCTACGACAAAATGAAACGAGAAAATGAAAATAGATCAAGAAGATTTTTTACTGCTTTCATTGTATAAAGCATTTCGAAATTCTTCATAGTTTTTAAAACCGATTGTTGATGTTACAGTTTCATTCCACATGTTTTGAATGGCTTTTTTCGCCTGCTCGCTCATCATTTCTCGTCCTTTTGTAGCTGATCCAGTAACAACACGTTTCATCATGACCGTCCCCTTGTATCCCAGCTTTTTAAGACCTTTCACAAAGACGTTTGTGTAGAACTTTTCTTCATTTGCTTTCATAAAATCAAAGGAACTCATCTTGACAGTATTAGCAATAGACCCTTCATCCGTTATACCTATGAAAGTTGCAACTGAGCGAACAGCACTTTCCAAATCATTCAACATGCCTTCGTAAGTGAGAATCAAAACATTTGAATCATTTCGCTTTGGCCACCAACTGCATAAATGCTCGAAATAATCAAATACTACTTTGAGATTCTTCACATAAATATTTGATATAAACGTCTCGATTGTCATTTCTCCAGGAGTATAGAAAACGCCCTCTAAGAAGCGATAGGCGCTATAGATCGCTGCACAAGGCTCTCGAAAAACGACGACATACTTTGCACCTTTAGGAATTATGTTGTATGGCATATGACTTCTGAAAACCCTAGGCTGATATATCTGTTGCGAGTCAATGGAATTTCCAAAGTTATAAGCTGCATCAATCCATATTACAACGTCGTCTATATCATTAAAAGTCATGTCTCCTCCGCTTCTCAACTGATGAACAATTTGTGACGCCCAGGTCGTGCCGCATTTTGGCGAAGAGCAAACGAAGATATCGGTGGAAGTTGGCACGAAACTAGCTGCATGCAGATAGCTTTCTTCTGTTACAAAAGCTGGTACTGATGGCAGGTCGTTCTTATTTGGTCCTACCAGCTTGCTATGTGATACACTTATTGTGTCTTCCATTATTAAGCAATTGACGATGTTCTTTCTTTATGTTTATCTATTATACTCTTAGATAATCATATGTTAATCATCAGACGTTACAAACCACAAAAGCTCATCTTATTTCAGGTCATATGATTTTCATGTGCATATTGTGTACACTGCTGGCGTTTTTAAATGTATTCCACGTGATGGCTAGAACATAAAATGCAAGACAAGACAAAAACAAGGCAGATACCAGGAAAATGTTTATCTCGTTCAAATTTGAAATCAAGCGTTAAAAGCTCAGGCACAATACCTCTTGCCATATAGTTGTACTAGACGAAATTCTCTCGGCGACGAAGGTCTATACAACAGCTGTATGAGAACGTGGGTTGCAGAATCTTTGAGAGACATGGCCCACAGGGGCAATGCAGATAAATAAATTAGGAATAAAAATCAAAGTATTTTGCATGAAATGTTTTCATTATACATGATATATATTCTGGAGTAGTAAATATATATTCATTGAGCAGATATCTCTATCTTCCGTACGCAAATATATTTATAAAGTACGCAGATATATATTTTTAGTGCACAGCACAGCTAAGGTAGTCGTTAGGTTGGGCCATGTCCATACCTATACGTTTTGATTTAAAAACACCACTTTTTCATATTTGAACAATATTTTGTTGCCTCTTCTAAAAATAACTTAGATAATGAAATGTGTTATATACAACTCAACAAAACTATTCATGATTTCATTATTCATGATTTACATTAGTGGAGCATTAAATATCTATTCATTGAGCAGATATCTCTATCTTCTGTACGCAGATATATCTTTTCAGTGCACAGCGCAGATATATATTTTCAGTGCGCAGATAAGTATCATATTTTCCGTGCGGATATATATTTATGGCAAGCGACAAGCAGACACATATTTTCACTCCGTAAACATATATTTATAGTGTGAACTGTGAATATTAACAAAAAATATAGAAACGTTTCAGCAACAAAAGAGAAATCGCGAGAAAATTTGCATTACAGTTAAAAAGTATTGCTAATATGGTTGACATTCCTTCACATAATTCTGATACAAACAATGTAGAAAACGAGAGAACTCTGATTGAATATTATTTTACTAGAGGATTCGAATATAAGAGCATAGTTAAATTCATGTAAAAAAAAACACTGAGCTCAAATGTCGGAACTCACGTTGCGAAACCGTTTTAAAGAGTACAGTTTACGTAGACGATTGCCAGAGTTTGATATAAATGAAATTCGCTGAGTCATTCAAGAAAAATTGTCAGTCCTGGTAATTTGTCAGGTTATTGTTGGATGTGACATGCACTCAGAACGGAAGGACATCAAGTTCCAAGAAGTGTTATTGAAGAGTTGATGAGAGAGATTGATCCCGTTGGTTGCGAAACAAGACGTGGGAAGCGTTTGCGAAGGCCAACATATCGAGTTCCAAGTCCTAACTTCTGTTAACATTCAGACGGTTACGATAAATTAAAGCTGTACGGTTTTCCGATACACGGATGTATCGATGGATGGAGTCGAAAGATAATATGGTTGCGCTTTGCTCGATCAAATAACAAACCAGGAGATACCTGCATCGTTTTATCTTCAAAGCATACAGGAAAATGGACGTCCTGTTAAGTTACGTAGTGATTGCGGAACAGAAAACGGGATCATGGCTGCTATTCAATGTGAGTTTTGCGCGAGCGTCGAGACTCATTTGTTTGGTACCTCTCCAGCAAATAAGAGAAAAAAGTCTTCGTGGGCACAGTTTCACAAGAACCACTCTATGTGGTGGATAAATTACTTCAAAGATTTGTGTGAAAAAGAGATGTTCAACCACAATAATGATCTGGAGTTTGAATGTCTTTGGTTTTGTTTTTCGGACGTTATTCAAAATGACCTTGATTATGTGAAAGAACAGTGGACCAGTAATCGAATACAAAACTCTTGTCACGACACATTTCCAGGAATACTTGACGAATTCTATTTTCTTCCAGAAGTTAAGGTGGTCTGAAGGACTTTTGTATGCTGTATCTCTACACAAATCCAATTTGTTCAGGAAAATTCTTTTGCAATTCCACGAGGAATATAACATGATGCAAGAATACTTCAACTACATTTTTCAAAATACTAGCATTGAAGAGCCAAGAAGTTGGCAAGACGCTGAAGAGCTGTATGTAACATTAATGGCAATAGCTAGACGACAATAAAATTTTTCCATTCATTGAACAATCACATTTCTTTCAAGTATTTTTACTCAGCTGTTACAAACACATTTCAATCACATTTTACAAACACATTTCTTTCAAGCATTTTTACTCAGCTGTTATAAAGAGAAACGAAACGACCTTTTCCTTTGTTACCCTTAATCTCTCAGTTTTAAATTCTGTAGAAGCAAGGCCATTCAATTATTTAAATCCTTGCACATAGAACACAATCTGAATCAATTTGAGAAGAGTTCATAGTTTCGTTTGCCCAAGTCCATTATATATAATTGGTACATGAAATAAAGCAGTCCTTGCCGAGACGCATATCATTCATCAACATCGCACTGTTATACACAGAAGATAAGGGTCGATTTTCTTGAGAAAAGTCCAAAGCGTATGCTACAAATTATTTCGGTTACCATGTCACCGTGAATTGTTTATTAAATTTTATTTTCGCATCATCAACATCCGTAAAAACGACAATTATTGCCATATTTTAAGATTTTTACATAAGCCAAGAGATTTTTCTTCATTTTTAAGTCATGTTATAGTTCACTTGCCCGCCATTACAAAGCATAAATTGATTAAACTTTATGTCATTTAACGTAAACAACACTCCACGCAAGTGATTTTAAATCTGCAATTATAATTGAATTAGATTGGTGAAAGTGATTTTACGGACGTTCAAAGTCACGATTTTCAGCATTTTTTGCGAACTTTTTGATCGGCATGCTAATGAGTTGTGACGTAGATAGTTGAACACATATATCAACATGGCGTATTCTACTAGTAATCATAATAAGAAACGCGGAGGAAAACGCTTTGTTGCTGGCGGACATAATCAAATTAGTTGCGCCAATGATTCAAAAACCGAAGGAATGTCGATGCATCTGTTTCCTAAAAAAGAAACAGAGCCGCAAAGACATAGAAAATGGGTAAATTTTGTGCGTAAACATAGACCGGGTTTTGAGATTCTCTAGTAGCGACTGTCCCATTCGATTTCTTAGTTTGGATTTTAGCAAAGCCATTAGAGAAAATGCTCTTTCAACTGCTGCGTTGCTAAACGGAAGAGCCAAAATAGAAAGTGCAAGGCTTCCCAACTCTTGAAAATCGTGATCCCCAGAAGCATCAACATGATTAATGACGTCAATCCAAAATTGCTCAATCTTCTGGTCGTTGACATCAATCCACTGGATTGAACCAATGCGACTATATTGTTGGTCAAGTTTACCTAAATCTCCGGAAAATAGTTTAAGAAACGACAGGTCTTGAAGAGATCGTTTCTGTTTGCCTGTAACAACAGTTGGACTTAGATCAGCAATAGATTCAAGCCGCTCCACATGGCATGGCAACCTTTGCTTCATTTGCTTTAGCAACTCAACCAGAAATTGTTGACATCTAGATTTGATTACACCAACCTTTTCAGAAGTTAAATTTGATTCCGCCAATGCCACTTGAAATAAAATACCAAAGTGGAGGGCAGAAAGAGGCAAATGATATGTCTCATCCTCTATGTCGTACGTTAGAGTGGAGCACCATGTTGTAAAGGTCACAGGCTTCATTGTACGGAAAAGAAACGCTTTATACAAACTCATAACATCAGTGAGGAGTGGCAACGGGTTAGCAGAATCTGACTGAAACAGCTTATTTACTCGGTTTTAATTCTTTAAGGATAGGCTGCAGAAAAATTAGATATAAATTATTCTCCATGTCACCATACATTTCAAAAAGTAATTCTGCAGTGTAGTTGCGATCTTCATCTTTGGCAAGATGAAAGTGTAGTTTCAGCTCGTCAAACTGTTTGAAGTATTCAGTCAACACATGCAGAAATAGATAGCCAACGTGTGTCGGAGAGCTTTAAAATCTTCAAAGTTGCTTCCCCCCCGTTGATAGCTGAATAGATCCGGCGATACTTTCGTTGCCTAGAAGTGCTATGAGAAAACCAGTTGTACGTTTCTGACACCATGAACTCCACATTCCGTGGCATTACTTTAAGAGCATGTGAGGGACAAAGTTGGATAGAACGACAAATGCATCTTATATGTATTATGTTAGGGCATAGTTCAAAAATTTTGTGACTACAGTATTGTTCCGTCCACACATTGTGTTGCACCCATCAGTGGCCAAGCCTATACACTGCTTGATATCAAGTTCCTTTGCTCTCAAAAATTCAATTATTGATTGAAAAATGGCCTCTGCCGTTCTTGATTCAATAGACAAAAGTCCAAGGAAGCTTGTGAGAATCTGTTGTTTGGCTGCGCTGTAATACTTAACCATAATGCAAAGTTGTTTTCATTGCCAATGTCAGTGCTTTCATCTATAATTAGTGAAAAAGAGATATCGGCCAATTCTTGAAGTAGCTGTTCTAACATTCCTGGTCCTAAAACACATTTAATCAATGCAGTACACTTCATTCTGTGGAGTTTAACATCTTTCCCTGAGACATCTTTAAATAACTCGCCAAGATGATCCACGGTGTTTAAGCTAGAATGACACGCGATGTTGGCAGCGTCTCTTGGTACACTCAAAATCCATTCTTTCAAGATTTCTTCCTTTTCCCAGTCTTTACAATACTTTTTATAATATTTTGCCCACTTTCCCATGTTATATTAGCACAATTGCTGTTTACCACGACAAAAACAAAAACACGTGGAAAATAGATAATCAAAATTTTTTCCAGCCCAAAATATCGCGCAAAAAGTTATTCCCAGCCCAAAAACCCGCAACCCGCAACCTCCCAAAATTTCCCGCAAACAGGCTTATAAACCAGCCCAATTGGGCGAGAAAACCGCCCATCTGGCAACACTGGCTGAAGAGCTTTTCGAAGGAGAATCATACATGAACTATTCCTCTTCCGAAGAGTCTAGTCAGAGTGA